GTATTTTAACGTATATAGAATGTATGAAGTAATTTCTGTATGAGCTAAATAATTTAATGTATCACTTAGTTACACCATACATAAAATACTGGGGTAATTATTCATAAAATACCGGAGAAATTATACAGTACATAAAATTCCTCACATTACCGGACATTTTCTCCCTCAGTGGCATTTTTATTTAATTTTTTCTATCAACAAACTTTAACGGTGGTGTTTGGAGGCATAAAATATACATAAAATATACATAGAATATACATAGAATATACACTATACATAATCTAGAGCTTTTATGGCCCCGTTTACGACTTATGCCGCCAAGCCAAGTGAAGCTGTTTTGTGTTTCAAGTGCTTTTATTTATTGTAAGTAATGATGTGTGTGGTTAAAGGCATAAAAGTGTGAATAAAGTAATAATGTCAGGGTTTAAGAGGCATAAAAGTATATGTCAAGTATTAAGGTGTGTGGTTAAAGGCATAAAAGTGTGAATAAAGTAATAATGTCAGGGTTTAAGAGGCATAAAAGTATATGTCAAGTATTAAGGTGTGTGGTTAAAGGCATAAAAGTGTGAATAAAGTGATAATGTCAGGGTTTAAGAGGCATAAAAGTATATGTCAAGCATTAAAGTGTGTGGTTAAAGGCATAAAAGTGTGAATAAAGTAATAATGTCAGGGTTTAAGAGGCATAAAAGTATATGTCAAGTATTAAGGTGGGTGGTTAAAGACATAAAAGTGTGAATAAAGTAATAATGTCAGGGTTTAAGAGGCATAAAAGTATATGTCAAGTACACTGTATAATGTATGCATATATATATATACACAATTCTATACATAATTTTGGCATTCAATTGGTAGTCAATATATTTGTTTATTCTAGGAAAGTAAAATTTTTAATACAAACTAAATTACTGTATATTTGTTCATAAAATAGAAAATGTGTATGAAATGTGTATTAATGTAAACTGTACAGAGGATAAAATTCGATTTACCAGGTATATAAATTGCTAGGAAATGTATAACACTGGGTATATAATATCCCGGAAAAATATAAATACGGTATATTAAAACACTAATTTATTCTGATTTATGTTTCAATTTTTTTTCTTTTCTTTTTTCTTTTTTCTTTTTTCTTTTTTCTTTTTTCTTTCTTCTTTATTCTTCTTTTTTTCTTTCCTTCTTTCTTTCTTTCTTTTTTCTTTTTTCTTTTTTCTTTCTTCTTTCTTCTTTATTCTTCTTCTTTTTTCTTTTTCTTTCTTCTTCTTTCTTTCTTTTTCTTTCTTTCTTTATTCTTCTTTATTCTTCTTTATTCTTCTTTCTTTCTTTCTTCTTTCTTTCTTCCTTCCTTCTTGTAAACATTGTAATGGTGGTGTTTAAAGCCAGTCATTCAGGTATAATCAGGTGGAAGGTGATGGCTGGCTCTCTACACCTGACTGGGTACTGGGTCTTGTTGCTCTCTCTCTCTCTATCTATCTTTTTTCTTTAATTTTCTTTCTTTCTCTCTTTTATTGTTTTATCTTATTTCTCTCTTCTGTTATTTCTCCCGCACTCCTCACCTTCCTCCCTCCCCTCTCCTTACCTCCACCCTCCCACCTGCCCCCTCTGCCCCCTCCTGGCCTCCACCCTCCCACCTCTCCCCTGCCCTCTCCTCCTTACCTCTCCACCTCACTCCTCCTTACCTCCACCCTCCCACCTGTCCCCTGCCCTCTCCTCACCTCCACCTCCCACCTCTCCCGCCCCTCCTACCTCCACCCTCCCACCTCCTGCCCTCTCACCTCCACCCTCCCACCTCTCGCTCTCTCCTCACCTCCACTACTCAAAACAACAGAGGAGCAGACCCAGTGAGGCGTTTTTAAATTGTTTACCAGGTGTGAGGTTCGATGTAGGGATTATCTTTGCAAATTACTTTTCAGGAAACATTATATAATTTTTTTTTTGTAATTTAGCTGTAAACTTACCGCATTTTATTTTACTCTTATGTGCTGGCAAGGGATTAATTTATGTTGTGATGTCTCCTCTATTGAATTTGATATCATTCACCTGTGATATCAGTAAATTATTATTATTATTTTTTTTTAATGTGTACTAGTGGTTAATTTTCAGTTGTTGTTGTTGTTAGTTATTTGTTTTTTGTTGTATCATTCGTGTCAGGTTGGATTAATTGTATCTGGACTGTGTTATTGTTTCATGTTATATTGTTATTGTTGTTTTTATTTGTGTTAAGGATAATTATCTTTCTTGAAATACTGATATAGAGGTTACTTTTTTTTTTTTTTTTATGTTTGATGGAATTACTTTTTCTGAAATATATCTTGAGTTTTTTTTTCTATACCGTCTAAACTGATTACTTTCTGTGTAATGTTTATGTAACTATTTTTAACGTGTGTTGGAATTACCATTATTACGATAGATTTTATATTTTTTCCTTGACGAATCACCTTTTATGAAATAGATACCGTAATTATTGTTTTAATTTATTTTAATAACTCAGGTGTGTTGGAATTCCTTTTGCTATTATATACAGGATTAGTTTTATTCAGTTTTCAGTAAGTTTATTTCAGTTTGTAAATCACTTCAATACGATTATTTTATCTTTTAATTATTTAGATTTTATTATTTATTTATGTCGGCTTTACTTTTATAAATTTGTGAATACCTGTAGGTGAATTAGTCCAGGTAAAATATATACTGTACATTGAATTAGAATATATATTTTTATTATTTTATTTATATCTGGGTGAATTACTTTTTACTGTTAGGATATTTTAAGTTTTATTTATTATTTTTTTAATGTGGAATTTGTATGTAATTTGTGATTAGTTGTGTTACGTATGTTATGTAATATGCCTGTGTGTTTTTCAATTATTGCCTATATTTTTTTGATGGGGAAAATTAGTCCATAATAATTAGGATACTGGGGTGTATTTAATAGATTTTTAATTTATATTTGTTTTTATGAGAATAATTTTTTTTCGATTATATTTTTAGGCGAGTTGTATTAAATTTTTTTACTATATACGTGTAATAGATTTTTATTTTAAATTTCTTTCTGTTTTTATATGACCTTGAGAATATTTGGTCCACAACTGGTTAAACTATCTGGGGTAAAAAAAAAATCTACATGTTTTTAATTGAATTTAAAGTTTTATTTTTCGTTTATTTTTAACCGAATTATTGAGGTTTAATTTTTTTTTTTTTTTAGAATTTAATGTTTTATATTTGCCCTTGAGCTGCACTACCGCCATTAAAAGTTGATATAGAATACAGGTTTGGGCTTTAAGGTGTTGTTCTGTCTTAGGTAAAAGTGCGTGTTTGTACGTGCTTGTGTGTATCTATGTATGTATGTGCGCGTGTGTGTTTGTGTGTGAGGCAGGCAGGTGGGTGAGCGCCGTGTTGTAGACATAATTAACGGAGAATAACGAGACCAATGAAGGCAAGTGTTGGCTAAGTTGTCTGTAAACACGAGATAAGTGAAGGGAAGCACAAACATATCCAGTCGTTTACAGCAGAGAAAAGTGGTGGTTTAAGAGAGAGAGAGAGAGAGAGAGAGAGAGAGAGGGAGAGAGAGAGAGAGGGAGAGAGAAAGAAGAGGGAGAGAGAAGAGAGAGAGAGACCTGTGAGTGTTTCCCATAATGGTGTGGAGAATTTTGCGAGAAGAGGACTTTCAACAGTTATCCCATTCTTCATGTGTTAAAGGTATGGAACTGAGGAAGTATATTTTACATCCTTGCCCTCCCCTCCCCATCTAGTCCTCGTCTCTACCTTTCACTCTCACTACTAACACTAATCCTGGATCACCTAAGCCCCCCACCACCACCACCACCACTAATCGAGTCAACGTCCTGCAGCCCACACCACTATTTCTAATCCCCGGATCCAGCCTCACCCCCCACCCCCACCACACTACCACTAACTAACCTTGGATCAACCCCCTCCCCCCTCCCCCTCCTCCCCCAGGCGACAAAATGGACCACAGCCAGCCCCCGTAGAGTCAGGAACCGATCACCCTTGAGAGCTGTGTCACTTGGTCTAAAGCCGATACTGTACCTTGTGTAAAACTTGGTCTATATGCTCCAGCTCAATCCCCGCGTCCTTCTTCGGGATAAGATGGGCGACTTGAAGGTGTTGGAGGAGAGAGAATTGTTTACCTGGAAGAAAAGAAGAATAGTTTACCTGGAAGAAAGAAGAAGAGTTTACCTGGAAGAAAGAAGAGTTTACCTGGAAGAAAGAAGAGTTTACCTGGAAGAAAGAAGAAGAGTTTACCTGGAAGAAAGAAGACAAGAGTTTACCTGGAAGAAAGAAGAGTTTACCTGAATGTCCACAATATCTGGCGGTGGACGGAAATAAAGTCACAGGAAAAAAAGTCACATGACCTGTACACATTGACAACACAATATACATATGAGGGCATTGCACGTAGGTTAGGTTAGGTTAGGTTTTTTCCGTTCCTTTTTATGACTTTTTTCCTTGACTTTTTTCCTTGACTTTTTTCCTTGACTTTTTTCCTTGACTTTTTTTCTTGACTTTTTTCCTTGACTTTTTTTTGTGACTTTTTTTCTTGACTTTTTTTTTTACTTTTTTTCTTGACTTTTTTTCTTGACTTTTTTTCCCTGGATTCTATCTGGTAGGCACTCCCTCCTCCCACAGTCTCTCTCTGTTGCCACTATGAGTTGGTAAAAGCCTAGAGTGTAGTATGTGACAAGAGTCGTGTACAAGTATCTCTCCCCTGAGACCCGTCAGCGGGAAGAACTAACTCTCCCCGTTCACCTGGGAGATATTGGTGTCCACAAAGCCTCCCTGATCACATTACCAACATCTCTGCCCAGCTTCCAACTCTGTCCTCCCGCTCAGCTTCCAACTCTGTCCTCCCGCTCATCCTCCAACTCTGTCCTCCCGCTCACCCTCCAACTCTGTCCTCCCGCTCATCCTCCAACTGTCCTCCCGCTTATCCTCAACTCTGTCCTCCCGCTCCCAGCTTCAACTCTGTCCTCCACTCATCCTCCAACTCTGTCCTCCCGCTCATCCTCAACTCTGTCCTCCCGCTCATCCTCCAACTGTCCTCCGCTTATCCCCAACTCTGTCCTCCCGCTCATGCTCAACTCTGTCCTCCCGCTCATGCTCCAACTCTGTCCTCCCGCTCATCCTCCAACTCTGTCCTCCCGCTCATGCTCAACTCTGTCCTCCGCTCATCCTCAAGTGTCCTCCCGCTCATCCTCCAACTGTCCTCCCGCTCATCCTCAACTCTGTCCTCCCGCTCATCCTCCAACTCTGTCCTCCCGCTCACCCTCAACTGTCCTCCCGCTCATCCTGCTCTGTCCTCCCAGCTCACCCTCCAACTGTGCTCCGCTCATCCTCCAACTGTCCTCCCGCTCACCCTCCAACTGTCCTCCCGCTCATCCTCCAACTGTCCTCCCGCTCATCCTCCAACTTACTGGCCGGGAGAATCGTTCCAAAACACTTTACAACAGTTTAAAGGAACGAACGACCTCTGGTGGGGGAAGGCAAGCGAAATATAATGAAGTTAATGACGTCATCAAGAACGAGACCTACCCCCACTTTCCCCGTCTACCCCCCCTCCCCCCTTTCCCCCCCCCTCCCGTCTCCCCCCTCCCCCCTCCCCCACACACACACTGAACTGAACATAACATAACAACAAATAATCAAACAGAATCATGCAGCTGTCCAGGAAGGAATAGTAGACAGCTGGCGTCTTCTATACCTCCCCCCTGAGTGCAGCTGGACCAGGGAGGGGGAGGAGGGTGGGGGTGGGGGAGGGGAGGGGGGGGGGAGAGAGAAGAAGACCTGAGCCACATATTTACTAAGAGACTCTGGGAGACGTTCGGGGAGTCTTGAGTTGGGCTACAGACTCACTGAAGCTACCAGAGACTCCAGTGGCACCCAACTACCTGTTTACCTGGGGATATATTGTTTACCTGGGGATATATTGTTTACCTGGGGATATATAGTTTACCTGGGGATATATTGTTTACCTGGGGATATATTGTTTACCTGGGGATATATTGTTTACCTGGGGATATATTGTTTACCTGGGGATATATTGTTTACCTGGGGATATGTTGTTTACCTGGGGATATATTGTTTACCTGGGGATATATTGTTTACCTGGGGATATATTGTTTACCTGGGGATATATTGTTTACCTGAGGGATATATTGTTTACCTGGGATATATTGTTCCTGGGATATATTGTTTACCTGGGTGTAATTGTTTGCCTGGGGATATCTTGTTTACCTGGGGATATGTTGTTTTACTTGGGGTATGTTGTTTACAAGGATATATTGTTTACCTGAGGATATATTGTTTACCTGGGATATATTGTTTGCACAAGGATATAATGTTGTTTACCTGAGGATATATTGTTTTACCTGAGGATATAATATTGTTTGCCTGGGGATATATTGGCCTGAGGATATATTGTTTACTAGGGATATATTGTTTACCTGAGGACATACTGTTTGCCCTGAGGACATAATGTTTACCTAAAGGACATAATGTTTACCCTGAGGACATATTATTTTCTGAGGACATAATGTTTTACCTGAGGACATATTGTTTACCTGAGGACATAATGTTTGCCTGAGACATATTGTTTACTGAGGACATCATTGCTTGAGGACTGTGAGGCAGTCTTCACTTTTCATATTAAATAATCGTAGATGTGAAAATAAAATAAATGTGATACGTAAAATATGTTGAAAAAGACCTGGATTTTTTATTGTTGCTATTATTATTATTATTATTAGTATTATTATTATTATTATTATTATTGTTATTATATTATTGCATTATTATTTTATTATTATTATTATTTTATTATTATTATTATTATTATTATTATTATTATTATTATAATATATTTATCTATTCATAAACAACATTAAAACAATCATGATATTTCAAACCTTCTTTTAATTTTTAGTTGATTAAAAAAACAAATTTACTTTTTTTTTTGGCAGAGCCTATTTCAACCCTCCGTGCTGTGTGTGTGTGTGTGTTTGTGTGTGTGTAGTAATGTCTCCATGGAACATATTCAGCAAGTTGATTCACGAAGACACATCATGTTGATTTATATGGTGGGTAGAGTGCAGTGGTTTTGATAGTGTGTTGCTGTGTGGTGGAGAGTCACTACTGCTTTGTATATGTGTGTGTGTGTGTGTGTGTGTTTGTGTGTGTGTGTGTACTCATAGGTTATGTTAACAAGTTGATTCACGGAACACATCCCATGTTGTTGTAGATGGTGGGTAGAGTGCAGTGGTTTTTGATAGTGTGTCACTGTGTGGTGGAGAGTCACTACTGTGCTGTATGTGTGTGTGTGTGTGTGTGTGTTTGTGTGTGTGTGTGTGTGTCTCATATGGAACATATTCAGCAAGTTGATTCACGAGGAACCTTTTTATCCCATGTTATTTGTGAATGGTGGGTAGAGTACAGTGGTTTTTGATAGTGTGTGTTACTGTGTGGTGGGAGAGTCACTACTGTATGTGTGTTTTATGTCAGGTGTTTGTTCTGTTATTGGTGGGTTGATGTTTATCTCTCTCTCTCTCTCTCTCTCTCTCTCTCTCTCTCTCTCTCTCTCTCTCTCTCTCATTAAACATCAAAAGGTTGCTTCAATGATATGATTAACATACGGTGTGCTCTAGCCTGTGACTTGCTCAAGGGCCAGCTGGCATCAGGCTAATGCTCAAGGGACAGCTGGTATCAAGGCTAATGCTCAAGGGACAGCTGGTATCCAGGCTAATGCTCAAGGGACAGCTGTTATCCAAGGCTAATGCTCAAGGGACAGCTGGCATCAAGAGTAATCTCAAGGGACAGCTGGTATCAAGGAGTAATGCTCAAGAGGACAGCCTGGCATCAAAGGTAATGCTCAAGGGACAGCTGTTATCCAAGGCTAATACTCAAGGGACAGCTGGTGATATCCCAAGAATGGATCACTCAGGGGACAGCAGCTGGTATCAAGGCTAATGCTCAAGGGACAGCTGGCATCAAGACTAATGCTCAAGGACAGCTGGCATCAAGGGTAATGCTCAAGGGACAGCTGGCATCGAAATGTCTCAAGGGACAGCTGGCATCAAGGTAATACTCAAGGACAGCTGGCATCAAGGATATTAATACTCAAGGGACAGCTGGCATCAAGGTAATGCTCAAGGGACAGCTAATAAAGAATAATACTCAAGGGACAGCTGGCATCAAGGGTAATGCTCAAGGGACAGCTGGCCTGCATATCCTCCTCCGTGTTCTTTGTATGTAGGGCGATAAGAGTGTCAAGCAGCAAATGTTAACCAACTGGGAGAGACTCGGGGAGATGGCAGGGGAAGTGTGTTGAATGATGATGGGCACGAAAAGGAGAGGAGGGGACGGGGGGAGGGGATGGGAGAAGGGGAGAAGAGGAGAGAGGGAGGGGAAGAGGAGAGAAGGAGAAAGAAGAGGAGGAAGATGGATGAGGGAGAAGGAAGGAGGAAGGGGAAGAGAAGGAGGGAGAGGAAAAAGGAGGAAAGGGAAGAGGAGGAAGGGGAAAAAGCACTGATACTCTCCAACGTGGCCATATTGTCGATGGTGATGTGGAGATACTGTCATTCTCTGAGGACGTTGTGAGCTGTGATCTCTTGGACACGGCGAGAGGGCTGTATGTATGTATGTATGTATGTGTCTATGTACGTGTGTGTGTGTGTGTGTGTGGACTAGTCATGGATGGATGGACCCAGAGCTTGCGACCCTCAGCTCTTTCCAGTGTGTCAACAGACCTATCATCGGGTACGTGGGGAGAGTAGGGCGAGGAGTTATGGCAGAGGGGGCAGTGTCGTGTGGTGTGTGTCAATCAGCTCCCACATCAGGAGTTACTTGTGTTTGTTTATGGGTTGGGGTAGGTTAGGTTAAGGTAGGGTAGGTTAGGTTAGTGTTAGGTTAGGTTAGGATAGGTTAGGTTAGGTTAGGTTAGGTTAGGTTAGAGTAGAGTAGGGTAGGTTAGTGTTAGATTAGGGTAGGTTAGGTTAGTGTTAGAGTAGGTAAGGTAGGTTAGTGTTAGGTTAGAGTAGGTAAGGTAGGTTTAGGTTAGTGCTATCTGTCTCTGAAGGTTAATAAGCACTGTGTCTTCCGTCCATCAGTTAATGTGGTGTTTCTATGTAAATTTCATCAAACTCTTCTCTTTAAAAATTGTGGAAGTTATATTTAGTTTAGGGAGTAAATTAAGGCTTAGATTCAACTCGCCGGGGTGTTGTAGTGGTGAGGAAATGTTGTTATTATTATTATTATTATTATTATTATTATTATTATTATTTTTGGTATTATGATTGTAGTTTTTATTATCATTGTTATTATTTGTTGTTATTATTATTAGTTGTTATCGATATTGTTGTCGTGTGAGTCAGGTCGTGGTATAAGTTGGCCAATACCATAAGAGACGAACATTGCCTCTCATTTAGACGTTTATATGAAAACTTTACCTCTGGCTGCTGCTGCTTATAAAAGATCAGAGCAACTTTGTAGATAACGATGGAGAGTTGATCCAATCAGAGAGGCGACCACTTAAGGGATGTTCTGGTTATGAGGGAGTGGTGACTAGTGCTTAAGGGATGGTTGAGTGGTGTCCTCCCCTCCCCTCACAATCCTCCTCCCCTCCCTTCAATACCCCTCCCCTCCCCCCCTCCTCCTCACCCCCTGATCCCCCTTCCCATTCCCCTCTTCTCCCTACGATCCTACTCCTCTCCCCAATCCTCCTCCCCTCCCTTCTTCAATACCCCTCCCCCATCAATACTCCCCCCCCATCAATACCCTCCCCCTCCCCCCCCCCACCCTACAATACAGCACCAGTACAAAGGCTCGACTCTTGTCTTCGAAACAGTGTGTTGAAGCTCCTCCCTTTGACTTCATGGGTCGGACATAACCATCACTTTGTTGTTGTTATTTTTGTTGTGATTGTTGTTTTTGTTGTTGTTGTTTTTGTTGTGGTTGTTATTGTTGTTGTTATTGTTGTTGTTGTGTTGTTGTTTTTGTTATTGTTATTTTGTTATTGTTATTGCTGTTTTGTTGTTGTTGTTGAAAGTCTTTGTCGGACTCAAAGCGTCGACTTTGATGCTTCTCTTTTGTGTGTGGGAAATAGATT